GAGAGAGAGAGAGAGAGATGGATACTGGCCTGACAGCGATAAAGCTAAGGGAAAAAAAGCTGGAAGGAGGCATACAGAAACTAGAGAAAAGTAGAAAGTAGAGAAAAAGTGACAGAAAATATAAAGTAACAAAAAAAGAGAGATGTGATGTTAATGGAGAGAGATACGGCAGCTATTTATGGTCAACATTTTCTAAGCAATGAATTTGATGCAACAAGCAGTTTGTGGTGGAGTCCGCCATTCCCATGCTGGATTCAGATTACCTTCACACACACACACACGATATATTCACAGTAAAATGTTGCAGCCCAATCCAACCAAAGACAGACAGTGAGAGAATCCCTTGGTAAGAATATAAGTAATAGATGGAAGGAAGTGGATGAGACCAAAAGAGAGACTTCCTCTGTTTGACAGTGAGAGAAATGAATGGGTATTTATAGATAGCAGTGTTATAGTTGCTCCACTGGTTACATCAGATAGACAGGAGGAGAGAAGTGAACAGGGGATGAGCAGGTGAAGAAGAGGACGAGAAGGACTGAACAAGAAAAGAAGATAACAAGGATGGGGATACAAAGGAGGAGAGGGAGGAGTAAAGAGAAGAGCACAGATGAGGATGAGGAAAGAAAGGATAGTAAGGAAAGATGGAGAGGAAGAGGACAAGAGAAGGAGGATGGCAAAAGGAAAGAGAGAAGAGGAGACTGACTTAAGGAGAGAGAGTTTCAGTGGTTGAATGTCTGGAAGTGTTTTGCAGTCACTAGTGGCTGCGCGTTATCTGTAAAAATGATATCATGATGTTGGCATTTGAAAGTATCTGTTAGGTCATTACACTGCTGGAGCTCCCCTCCTTCCAGCTGAGAAACAACACTGAGAGAAATCTTTATGTTGTCACTGCAGACCCTGCCCCAGATCTACAATCAGTCACTATTATGTGGCTTGAACCTTTGTATTATTGATTAATCTGCTGATAATTGGTCCATTAAATGTCAGAAAATATCACTCAGAGCCCATGTGGTATATCCAAGTAGCTCGTAAACTATAAAATGAACTTACAAAAGCAGAAAAGATTATCAAAACAGTTGCATAAGCATTATCTGTGAACTTATCGATGAATTAACTAATCGTTACAACTAGTTAAAGGTCCAGTGTGTAGCATTTAGTGGCATCTAGCGGTGTGGTTACAGATTGCAACTCCCTCACTTCAAAGTATGAGGGAGAAACTATGCTTCTACTAATGCTTCTATTTAAAGCCAATGTTTGGTTTGTCCCTTCTGGGCTACTATAGAAACAGCGACGTCTGTTGATAAAAACAGCTCATTCTACGGTAACAAAAACACGATTCTTATATTCAGGTGATTATACAAACATAGAGAGTCATGTATTTACAAGAAATGATTATCACACACATACAGTAAGCACTCTGTATGAACCCATTCACCTAGTCCGTGTGTGTGTCCGTGTGTGTGT